ATCAAACACAAACTCCAACAGCCAGGTATGGTGTGGCGCAAACCTATGATCCCGGCACTCAAGAGGCTAAGGCAGTAGGATTTTCATTTTGAGCCCAGCCTAGGCTATATAACTGAGACCAGCCTAGGCTATATAATGAGACCCTATCTCAAAAATCAAACACAAACTCCAGATGCAGTAAATGGATCTACAGTCCTGAAGCAGAATGCAGAATAGAACTGAATCATGGACTAAGTGATTCGGTCCTACAAAGCTTTGTGGTCAATGAATCCCAGTACAAATAAGCATGTGATGGCCCTTGGGGGGTGTCAGGGTGGGTGAGCACCAGAATAGGCCTAGACTCTTTCCACACCTGACTCAGCCGGCATCTCTCCTCTTTGTGTTGGAATAGACTGAACTATAGCTCTGGGCCTCAGTTACCAGGGCTGAGAGCAGAGGGTGCTTTTTAATCTCTTCTAACAGTGACAACTCAGCCTTGTGTTGACTTTTTTAGCCAGGACAGTTTTAGTGTGTGGTGGCTCCAGATTTTCCTTTGTTTACCATCCACACCCTCCTCTTCAGCTGCCCCATGCATTCTGCAAACCAGGAGCTCTCCTGATAAGGACTCAGGAGACCAGGGGCTTGGTGTATTCTAAGGTAGTGTAGCTCAATGCCACCTTTTCAAAACCTAGGCATCTAGTGAGAACTTTAAATTCCTTCTCAAAGGTATCTGGGTCAATGGAACTAGAAAACGTTTAAAGGACGAAAATCGTTCTGGGGAAAAAGAAATCCTGGTCTGTGCAAAGGCAACAATTTTGAGCCTTTGTAGGAAATCCAGTTCTCATGTGTTCAAATTCTAACTAACCTGCAAGGCTCCAGTTTGCATGGTACTACTACCCACTCAAAGCTTTTTTTGAGAAAGGGTCTCCCTGTAACTCCAGCTGTCCTGGAACTCACTATGTAGACCAAGCTGGCCTTGAACTCACAGAGATCCCTGCCTCTGCCTCCCAAGTGCTGGGATTAAAGGCATGTGCCACCACGCCCAGTTAGACAGGTCTATGGAGCATTCCTGAGGCCTCCTCTTAGCATACACAATCTATGCATGTATCTGCATGCAGCTCTTTTTATGAGGTCCTTTCTAGCCTTTACTGGCTATGTGAGAGCTTTGTACATGGAAAGCATGAAAATATTTTATGGAGGAATAAATGAATGAATGTTAGTTCAATTTAGAGTTTATTTGTGGTACTGTTGGGGATCGAATCTAGGGTCTTGTGCATGCTAGGTAGGCATGATTTAGGATAAATTTTTGTCCTTTATCCAAAGAATTCAACATTTGAAAGTAGAAAGATACCTAAAACAAATTCTGAAAGCCACCCTGGTCTTCACTTCAGAGTCTATGCTCTGGGACGCAACTGTTCTCTTTGGCTAAAAAGATTTTCCAACGTATAAAATGCCATAAAAGTTGAAATATCTGAAATAAATGATAAGCCTGATCACATGTATTTGTATAGTACTTCAATTTTTTTTCCTGTTCTTTGAAACTCACTATATAGATCAGGCTGGCTTTGAAATTACAGAGATCCACTTGCCTCTGCTTCCCAAGTGCTGGAATTAAAGGGCTGCACCACCACACCCAGCTTGTATAGTACTTTTTTAAGTATATAAAGGAAAGATCTGGTAGTAGCAATTTACTTCTAGGGAGTGGGAGTAAGAGGCTGGGGAGGCTAGGCCACACTTTATATTGTACCTTAAAGCACTCTTCAATACTGTTAAATGTCTTACTGTAAGCATATATGACTTTTATGATTTAAGTAATGTTTGAAAAATGAAGTTTAGGGTTTTTATATATACTAGCTTATTTAATTATATGCTATAATACATATAATGTATTACAATACATCTTACTATTGAAAAAAATTGAGTTTTAAAGAGATTAAGTGACTTTTCCAAGAGGTAATTACAAAATCAGAAAAGAGCATGTTATGCAACAAAGCTCAGGAAAGAGTAGAATTGTATTCCATTCGAGTTATAATCCTCTCTCTAGGGATCCTGCCACTTATCTACCAGTGATTTATTAAGTGCATGTTATGAGCTAGCCCAGTCTTACCCTGAGAACTTTCACATCACAACAGCTGCATGTCCCTCATGCATGACATGCTACATGGACTTAATATTATTCACTATAATGAAACATACAAGAAACTTCCTCATTTCTATTCACCTAAATGGATTCTAGGGAGAAATGTGTTTCTTTAATTTTTTTTTCTTTTGAGAATTATACATGTGAGTATTGTCTTTTCATTATTTCCATCCCTCCCAGGGAGTCCTCCCCACCCACTCTTACCATGTCTCCCCTACTCCCTCTCAATTTCTTGTCCTTGTCTTTGAATATTATTGTTACATATACATACATATACACATATAATGTACTGAGTCCATTTAGTGGTGCTCATGTGCACCTGTGTTTAGGACTGCCAATTTGGGGTTAGATAACCTCTCAGGGAGCTGGTCCCTGGAGAAAACTGATTCTCCCTCAGTATCCATTGATTGCTTGTAGCTCTTCATCTTGAGTTGGGACCTTATAACATTCTTTCCATCCATTCTGGCATGTTAACTGGTTTTGCTATTATGCAGAAATCCTACTATATGGTGGAGATTTCATTGGTGTAGTTTCCCTATCGTGTCTAGAATGCATTAATAAGCACCAGGTGTCTTGTCCCTCTGGCTCTCACATTTTTTTCACTCCCTCTTTTGTGATGCTCCCTGAGCTTTAGATAGAGAGGTTGCATTAGGGATGTGCCACTTAGGGCTGGCACCTCACAGTCACTTCTGGAGAAATATATTTCTTATACTTTGCATTTTTCTTTCATTTGCAGTTTGAAACGCAAACCAAATCAGAGTATGATGTTAATAGCTTATTTCACTTTACTTTTTTGATGCATCTCAAGGGTATATCCAGGTAAGTTCCATGCAGGTCTTTGTCATCTCCTAAGACAAGTATTAGATTCCCAAGGCTGGACACCACATATTTTCCTGTCATCTGCTCTCGGATCACCTTTTATCACAGATAAAAATATTGATCGTGCTGGGTGTGGTGGCGCATGCCTTTAATCCTAGCACTTGGGAGGCAGAGGCAGGTGGATCTCTGTGAGTTTGAGGTCAGCCTGGTCCACAGAGCAAGTTCCAGGCAGCTGGAGCTACAGAGAGACCCTGTCTCAAAAAGGCCAAAAAAACATATTGATCATACCTATCTAATACAAGGTGACTACACAGAAAAGGCCTTGGCCACTGTGCAGTGTGCTGGATTCTTAAGGCTCAAGACTGATCTCAGCCATGAGGACTGGCTAAGTTAGCCCATAGGTAGCAATGTGAGGCTTCACCAAAGGATTAACTATGCTGCTATGTCTTCTTCCTTTCATAAGGGCATGTGTTTCTGTTTGGGGAGAATTTATAAGTTGTTTACTCAGTTGGGAACTGGTGTCTATTAAATTTTCAATCTCTGCAGATTATTCAGTGAAGGTCTTTTTGAGAGTGGGGTGTGTGTGTGAGGAACTATGCCCATATTTGTTTGTATGGTGTGTCTAGAGTATGAGTATGGTACATACACACCTGCCCAAGCCTTTATGAGTATAAGGAATGTGCGAAGTTTTTGCTGTCTATAATGTGTGAGTGCATGAATGTACCTGTATATGTAGATGTGTCCTTCGATACAAATCTTCATCTTCGCTCTTGCTCTCATTGACATATTCTCTGTATTTTCTATTTTTCGTCCTACTCAAATTTACTAAGCTAGAGATCTTCAAATATTTGTTTCAAATACCAGCAAAACATTTTATCTTTTTCTTAGAAAGTATGAGCATGTATTCCTGATACTTCATGCATTAAATATTAAAGCCAAGGCATTTTATTGTTTCTTAGGTAAGAAAATGAATACAGGCAGAAGGTCTGTTATTTGTTTCCCACATCCCAGAAGAATGTGGGAAACATGACTTGTTTACCATGGCTGTATACAAATTCTACTCTGCAGGCTACTGTCTTTAAACCACAACTGCCCCAATCTGTTCTCTCTCTCTCCTGACACCTAGACACTCATCCTGTTGGTAGTTGGGGTTGGATCACTTGAAACAAATGCCAGGTGATGAGCTGAAAGAGAGGCCTGTGTTATTTTACATAAGAGAAAGCCACAATTTGTGATGCTGATGCCAATATCTAGGAGCCAGAAAGTAAGGGAGGGAAAGATGAAGGCAGAAGGCTGCTGAGATAAGTTCTAAGACATGAACCAAGTGAGAAGACTCGGGGAGGCCAGACTCATGGCAGAAGAGAGTGTTCATTTGTTTTCTGAATGTACTTGCTGGCAGTTCCCTGCCAGGTCAGCTCCATGAAGGACTGGGCCCAGCCACATCTCAGAAACAGCAGCAGATTCCCACAGCAATGTATAACAAACATGCCCTAAAAGAATGCATTAGCTTACTGCACTTGCTTAAGCAAAACAATGTTTTAAGTTATTACACCTTCTCTTAATGACATTGTTGCTCAAATTCCTTCTGGAGGCCTGAACAATGTGCCCCCCACTGGGATCCTAGTGAGGTATGATTTCACCAAACTACACCTTGGAGGACCAGCAAGCTCCAAATTTATTAGGCTTACTTACAGAGCGGTGAGTGAGGGTTTACTTACAAGACTATGGGTGTCCCTGCTAAGACTGCACTGTAAACTCTCCATCCAGGCATGTATGTGACCTCCCCACAGCTACAAAAAATGATGAGAGAACTACCATAGGGGCTTCCTCAGCTTAAGTACCCCTAGACCCTCTTCTTTGTGCAACTAGGACCAACTGGTTGGTTAGGAGGCATGACTGATTCTCCTCGACCCTCCTAACTTGCAGAGGGTCAACAGCCAACAAGTTTTGTGATGATCTTAAGCCAGTGAAGCAACAAAGCGTGGGAAGAAGGTGTCTGTCCATAGCTTGACATTTGGGGGACAGTCCTATGCCACACTCCACCCCTTCCTCCGGCTCTTACATTCTTTCCGCCATCCTCTTCCGCAAGAGTCCCTGAGCTTTGGAGGGGGTGACATAGATGTAGGATGATCTTCCTTCCACTGTGGCGAGATACTGAACTCTTGGGCCTTTTCATCATCTGTTTCCAAGACGTGGCTGTTGACCCATCTCAGTGGTATTCCTCCTACTATAAAAACACAAATGAAAAGAAGTAGGAACGTCTAAATGAACACTGACTGCTATAATAACCTAGCCTATGGTAGAAACACAAATGCCTGGAAGGTACCTTAGCAGGTACATTACATCCATCTAACAAAACAATTGCAGTGGCTTCCTGACTGGGGACCTATAACTTCTCCTGCCACCAGGTTGGCCTGGGTTGTAGTAGAGGATGTGTGTTCCTCCCCAAAGAACAGGCCTTAAATCCAATTAGAAATGTATCAGTTGTATATATACTAGTTGAGCCACTATTGTACCAGCAGACACATCTTGCTTAGCATGTCTACAGTGCAACAGATGGGATCGATCATTAAGCAGAACTTTTGGGACCATTCTCCCCTAGGGATTCTGCATGGCACATCCTGGCACTACGACCACCAGCCATCTGGTGGCTGGGAGTTTCCAACTAAGTCCCAGCTTGATCTCTCCCTCTCCCATGCTTACATCATGTGGTATCTTCAGCAACAGGGTCTTGCTGGCTACTTCTGGTGTAAAACCAACATTAGTGGCAATAGCCTTTATGATTTGGGGGACCTCCAGGGCCTCCCTGGCCAAAAGTTCATAAGGGGGCAACCCACCCCTGGTACTGGAATTTTCACTTAACAATTGTACAGAGGTTTTTGGGAGACTCTATTTTTATTGTCATATCTGTTTACTCTTTGGCATTTATAAGCCCAGGCTGTTGTAGATTTTCCCAGCCATCCTGATGGATATCACTTCTGCCTTACCTGACCATAAAGCTCCCAAGAATTTCACAGCTATAGCTGGCCCTTGTACCCTTTGTGAATTTACTTTCCAGTCTCATTTCTTCAGGTGTATTTGATATCTCTCAAATGTGTTCCATATCTGTAAAACACTCAGACATTAACACTATATACTAAATCAAACATAAACAAGGTCTAACACAGCATGGAATGATTTTATCCATTTGTATCAATTGTTTTCTCAACAGATCTATGTTGGGTACAATAGCATGGATAAGATGTATTTATTTAGTTAGCTCTTTACCATCTTTAGTCGTTTTTTTGGAGCCATTCCATATCCTGGATTATTTACATGAAGCATCCCTGCATTTCTCCATCCCTAATAAACTCATTGGGGTTGGCTTAAGCTGCCTGGTCCTGCACAGGGTCAAGGAAGAATAGGGCCCCTCTGCCTGTGCTGCACCTGTTGGTTTCCCGGGTCAGGCAGGCCCTGGGTCTGACTCCTAGCTGTAGCCACACCCATAGTCTCTCCATTGACCACACCTGGCTGTTGGGGGAGGCCCTGGCTGTTCAAACTGCCTCCACCCCTAGCATAACCTTTCACAGGAGAGAAATGTACCCTGTGGAATCATTATCCACCCTGGGAGAGTTTTTATCTTTTGTACCTGTATTGTTTTATTAAGGATGCCTTTTGTGAACTGTTCAGGTTTTAAAGCCTTCCAGAAGCTCCTTAGTACAGAATTTGGCTTTTTGTCAATTTTTCCTTTAGGAACTTGGACTATTCACAAATCACACCACATTCGCGTTTGAGTAACCCAAACAGACCTCTTTTTCTTTTTATCCTTCTTATAGCTCTATTAGGTTGCTCTACTATTTTACAGATATGTTTTATACACTGGTTTAAGTGATTGAGATCTGCCAAAGCCTCTCCTACCTCATGAAGATCCTACCCCACTAAGGGACTTATCCTTTAGGAACTTGGACTCAACACAAATCTTGCCACATTTGCCTTTGAGTAACCCAAACATCTCTTTTTCTGCTTTGTCATTTTAATATCTCTTCTAGGTTGCTCTACTGTTTTACAGATACATTTTACATGCTGGTCTAAGTCACTTTGTTCTGCCAAAGCTTCTCCTACTTCATAAAGATCCTGCCCCACTAAGGGAACTCAGCAAAGCCATTAAAGCTTCACTCCAATCTTAAGGATCAAGTTCTTCTTTAAATCTCTGATGAACACAGTCTTATCTGGTCCAGTAAACTGGGCCCTATACACTGATTTCCTCATACCTAGGTCTCTCAGGAGTGCCTGTCCCTCCTGTATTGTCCTTCAGCCCCTGATATCCATGGGAACCTCCATTGTTGATGACCAAGTATCTCTAAAGGCTCATACAAGCCAATCCATTAGGGACTGATTCCCCCTCTACTGCCTCAGGTTATGCAGCCTATGTCTCAAGAAGGGATGGGTGATTATATTGCTCAATTTTAATGTGTCTATAGCACTTAAACTAATATCATCTGCTCCCATGTCCCATATCCTCATAAGCTAGGTAGTGAGTGGTTCCTTCATTGCTTATTTGAAAATCTTTCCTAGTTCCAACAGCTCCAGTGTGGAGTATTCTCTGATTGCCATAGTCTCTCACACCAGACCATTGTTAAGGTCTCCATCAGCATGCTGAAACACAGGGCATCTTGGTTATTTCTAGGTCTCTCCCTTCCTCCTCACAATCTGCCTTCTCCCATGGGTTCCAAGTTTTGGGGTCCCATGATGACCCTTGTATTATCAATCTAATCAGGTCTCTCTTCCCTTTCTGGCCCCCTAGTTGTAAAAAACAGCAGGCTAACACCTCTATCTTTCTTTGTCTTTTATGCAATTGTCAGAGGCCAATACTGAAGAGTCCAACCTCATATCCCTTTCTCACTGCAATTCCTCTTTTACACTTCAGTCTCCCTCTGGGCTACCACCTCCACCTGGGACAGATCTCTTACACAAAGCAGCGGTCAGGCTGCCTCTGCAGCTGCTCTCTAAAACTTCCACTCCTGGTGTGCTATTCCTAGGGCTTGCAGTTTTCTCTAGACCTTCCAGCTGTCCTCAAAGCATCTTCATACTCACATGGTGGACCCTACTGCTCAAGCAGACATGCCACTCCGTACCCCCTACAAGAGGACCGCCATCCCAGGGGTCCCTCCGCCAACATCATCTACCTAGGTGGCTTCACCTTAGTTTCACTATCCATGCCACTGCCACTACCCCTACCAGCCCTTTGGGGATAGCCCACCATGTTAAAATTTCTTCTCCCAACACTCTCCCCTCACCCAGCTTCCCTTCGGTTGTTGGTTTCCTTCTCCATTTCAGAGACATCAACAGTGCTCTTCCCAAACTCATCCTCAGTTTTGTCCTATCCTGGTCAATTGCGCCAATTGTTGCTATAATTCCTTCTGGGAAATGTGAGCAATGTCTGGCCCCCTCCTCCCTTGGTCCCTATGGCAAATCGAGGTGTGATTTCACCAAATTGCAGTATGGAAAAATCAGCACATTTATTTGGGCTTACTTACAGAGTAGTGGGTGAGGGGTCACTTTCAGGAGTGTGGGTGCTCCCTGCCAAGGCCGCACTGGAAAGTCTCCATCTAGATGTGGATGTGATCACCCCACAGCTGCACAAAATGGTGCAAGAGCCTCCCTATGGGCTTCCTCAGCGTAGGTACCCTTAGTCCCTCCACCTTGTGCAACTAGACCCAACTGGTTGGTTAGAAGGCATGACTGACTCTCCCTGACCCTCATTTCTTGTGGAAGGTCAACGGCCAGCAGGTTTTGTGATGGTCCTAAGCCAAGGGGTGTGATGAAGATTGGGAAGAAGGTATCTGTCCATGGCTTGACATTCAGAGGACAGTCGTATGCCACAGACATGGACTTGGAAATGGTCCGAATGTCTTAGAAATCTAGTCCAGAGGTGTGTCCTGGTGCCCCTGTACAGGGGAACAGGGTATGAAATGAATGAAAGCAAAGCAGGTGCTGCCAAGGTCTAGCTGCACTACGGAACAGCTTCAGAGGGAACGAAACAGCTGGGGAAGACACGCCTGTCTCCTGTCCCTGCTAGTGAGCCACCAGAACAAATCCCTCTAATAACATTTCACACATCACCTGTCTTTGCTAAAACCTACTCTGTTTGTTACCTCAGAGCAGCACCAAGGAATCGGGTGAGGGAGATACAGAGGGGTTAATGAATCTAGGTCTGTTTCCTGAGGCATTTGTTTTTGCATTTTCCTTGGAAAAGAAACAACAAGAGTTTCAGTCTGGCACTTCCTCAGCCTGTCACAGGAGCCCTGGGCTAGATCTTACCAGGACAGTGGGGTTGGATGAGGTCAAGAGCTGGTGAGCAAGGAGCCTACTGCACCAGATTCCTGAGCGTTGATTCAGTCACACTAGTCCATGAGGACAGAGGGCTCAGTGAGGGACCAGTGAGGTGCCTGCCAGGCTCAATTGGGTGAGAAGACCAGGTCTCTGGCCACAGGGGTTCACGATCTAGTAATCAGGAACAGGGCCAATGTTTTCAACACTTGTAAACCAGCAAGAGAAAACGGGGCCGAGGAAGGCTAAGTGTTCTCAACATAAGCAAACATGTGTACTTTGCCCTGAAAGCTGCTGAGTAAGAGATGATAGTGATTTTAGAGTTGGGAAAAGGTGGCCTCTAGACAAAAGAGAAGGAATCTGCATGTTAGGAAGGAATACAAATTGGAGTCAGATGAAGTTTGCTAAATACATCAATAGCTGCTGCTAGAATCCGTGGGGGTGACAAATGACATGTCCAAAGGTCTCCACGAATTCAGTCACAGAAACCAGAGAGGAAACTCAGAGGCCATTATGGAGTGGGTAGGGAGTGAATAGATTCATATCGGGACAGCCCTAGCTTTTGCCTGTTTCCTTAGTCATTATGAATATGCCCCTTTCACTTTGTGCCCTTTCTTTGCAATGCAGTCATTCTTGATCTCAGAAACCCACAACATACAATGAGTTGACAGATAGCACCTCTCCAGCCAGGCTGTCCACATAGCTTCTCCATTTCAGCACCTTTCCTGGAGGCTAAATATCTGGCCCCTAGCCCTGCCTGGTCATGCATACTGATCTATAGTCAGATGTGAATGGGGACAATCATTCCTCATTCCTAGAATGCACTAGAACAGAGAGAGGAGAGGGAAAAGGGGGAGACACTGAAACTGAGACCCTCTGAGTGACATTAATGGTAAGTAAGTCAAGTACAAATGCCCT